ACGATCTTTCTACCCACACTCTCTATCTATCTACCTATCCATCCATCCATCTTTCCATTCATTCATTCATCCATTTATCCATTCATCCATCTATCCATCCATCCATCCATCCATCCATCAACCGTCCGTCCGTCCGTCCGTCCGTCCCATCCATCCATCCATCCATCCATCCAACCATCCATCATCCATCTATTCATCTGTATATCGCTTGTAGGGACTCAGATATGCGCGATTGTAAGGTAAGACGACAAGCGAGAGTGATGTGTGTGATGGATAGGGCGAGGGAGAATGTGAAAGGAAAGCGCAGGCAGAGAGCTGACGCACGTTCCCGAGTGATCCATTTTCACGAAGCCATTACGCAACATCAGTCGTCAGCCGTATTTATTTTACACGATACGATGTGATGCTGGTGATCTCCATGGATGAGGATGCTGAGATGAAATGCCTGCAGTAACATCCGATTCCCATAACATCACTTATCGCATCCTTCGTCGCATCTCTTACAGCATCCCTTGCAGCATACATTACCGCATCCCTCACAGCATCCCTCACAGCATTCTTTACAGCATCCCTCACAGCATCCCTCACAGCATCCCTCACACAGCATCCTCACAGCAATCTCTCACAGCATCCCTTACAGAATCCATCACAAGCATCTCCGCACAGCATCCCTCACCGCATCTCTCACAGAATCACTTACAGAATCCTCACAGCATCCCTCACAGCATCCCTCAAAGCATCCATCACAGAATCCCTCACAGCATCCCTCCCCGCATCCTCCTCCCAGGCATCCCTTCACCGCATCCCTCCAGCATTCCTCACCGATCCCTCCAGCATTCCTCACCGCATCCTCACAGCATCCTCACCGCATCCTCCCCGCATCCCTCACAAGCATCCTTTTACAGCATCCCTCTCACACAGCATTTCCTCTTATTATTCTCCCGCATCCCTTACAGCATCCTTCCTCCGCATCTACAGCATCCTTCCTCCGCATCCCTCCCAGCATCCCCACGACATTCCGATGCAGATGTTGTCGCCAGCCAGCAGGGATGAGAGGGCGTGAAGCTGAAAATCCTGCGGAAGGCGAGAAAAACAGAGAAAAAACCGAGATATAATGATAGTGACGCCCCGGAGACGACGAGGAAGAGGTTACTGAGAAAAACATGACCCGCGGGTTGAGGGGGTCTGCGCGACCCGACCTGCCGAGTGAACGTGGCTTTCGCAGTAAACAGCGGCAAAAAATGCACATGGCTCTTGACGCAGCGGTCCTGACCACGATGTCGGACTCTAGCCATCTAATCATCGCAGCTTTCCCGTGTGGAACGCCACAGAGAGTGGGAGGCATCGGCGGAGATGCTAACGGGGGGAGGGATGCTGGGAGACCGCACGTACGCCTTCCTCTTCAGACATACACGTCGCCAGTTCAGCGGAGCTCAAAAAATGAGAGAGAGAGAAAGAAAGAGGAGAGAGAGAAGAAAGAGAGAGAGAGAGAGAGAGAGAGATGATGAGAGAGAGAGAGAGAAGAAAGAGAGAGAGAGAAAGAAGCTCTTCTTCATCAAGCACTCATTACTGTGGAACGTTAGACAAACGAGTAACAACCCCAGCTGTCACAAGAAGAGCGAGAGTGTAGTCCAGCTAGGAGTATAACCTCTTCCTAAATTTTCCATGACATGCACGCAAAAGCGTTTAACCTACCAGTACAGAAATAAATAGCTGCAGCTTACAGCACCATAGCTCGCTACATACACGAACCTGTAAAAGGATTCCTTTGGCGTGTGTAAGAATTTGCAGGGCACAGATAACTCAGCTCCATAGAACCTGTAACAAACAACACATATATATACGCATCCCATCAGATCGTTATAAATATATCGAGAGCACGCAAACTTGTAGTTATGTAATGAAAAAAGGTCAATGCGTTCCTGATTATTGGTGTGACAGACGATTGCATGTAAATGGCAAGCCGTGACGTCACTCATGGATCATAAACGATGTTATATGCGTGTGCACGCGCAAAAAAAGTACTACATTTAGAAAAATATTATCAATCGGTAGTGCACGGGGACCCCAATTTTCCTCCTCTACTAAATTCCCTGCTGGCGCACGCGGGAATGTTTGTATACACACCATGATAGTCGACCATAGCGTGACCCAGGTCGACCATGGAAGGGGTCGAATAACCTTCAATGACCCCGGGTGACCATGGACGGCCTCGAATGCCTCATTGTGACCTCGGAATGCCCCATTGTGACCTCGGATGCCCCATTGTTTAACTCGGATGCCCCATTATGGACCCCGGGTGCTATTGGATAGCCTCGGGTGACGACCGATATGAACCTCGAATAACCCTCGATGCCCCTGAGTGACCAATATAGGACCCGGGTGACCATGTAGGATTCCGGATGACCATGAGGACCCCGGATGACCATGAAGGACCCCAGGATGACCCTGGATTAAACTTGTGAAAGGGGATCGCATGGCGCTGGGTGACCTTGGGTAACCTCTGGATTGAAGTCCAGGTCGGTATATGTTGAGGCCAGCGCCGCCGTGATCATCACGAGTTACCGACATGTATCATTATTAGTGCCACGCTGAAACCGGCAGGAATGCTGGAGATATTTCACCCGCACGTGTACAGAAGCGAGAAGCAGATCATCATGGGAGGCAGGCAGGCAGGCCAGATAGACAAGCAGGCAGGCAGACGGACAGGCAGACAAGCAGGCAGGGCATATAGGCAGAACAGGCAGGCAGACAGGCAGGTAGGTAGGCAGGCAGACAAGCAGGCAGGCAGGTAGGTAGGCAGACAAGCAGGCAGAGAGTCAGGCAGGCAGGCAGGCAGGCAGGTAGGTAGGCAGGCAAGACAAGCAGGCAGACGAAAAGCAGGCAGGCAGGTTAGGAAGGAAAGCAGACAAGCAGGCAGACAGGCAGGTATAGGTAGGCAGGCAGACAAGCAGGCAGACAAGCAGGCAGGGGAACGCAGGCAGGCAGGCAGGCAGGCAGGAAGGCAGGCAAGCAGGCAGGCAGGCAGGGCGACAGTCAGGCAGGCAGGCAGACAGTAGGTTTGGCAGACAAGCAGGCAGACAAGCAGACAGGGAGAAAAAGCAGCAGCACAGGCAAAGCAGGCAGGCAGGCAGGCAGCCAGGTAGGTTTGGCAGACAAGCAGGCAGACAAGCAGGCAGGCAAGCAGGCAGGCAGGCAGGTAGGCAGGCAGCGACAGGCAGGCAGACAGGCAGACAGTCAGGCAGGTAGGTTGGCAGACAAGCAAGCAACAGAAGCAGGCAGGCAGGCCAGGGAGGAAGGCAGGAAGGCAGGCAGGCAGGCAGGCAAGAGGCAGGTAGCTAGTTAAAATTAGTCTTGGTATATGAAGCACTGCGAGCGATGACGCCGAAAAACGAGCGCAGTTCTTTCACCGCGCTTCGGTTATTTTGTAGGACTTTCAGATTGTAAACAAACTTCACTCTAAAAAATCCGAGAAAAAATTAGTAATTCTGTTAGCTTACATGGAGGGAGTGTCATATATGTTTACTGAGGCGCGTATACAGTCAGCCTTAGTTTCAAGACTCTCATCACCTATGATGCCTCAAAAAACACGCTTTGTAAGTTCGGGTATCTAGAGGATGAGAATGAAATTGCTAGCCTATTATACATAAATAAATAAATAAAATATGATATATAATATATACGTATTATGTTCAGGGGTTAATAATGGACAATTTGTTCATTATTAATCCCTGGTAATGTATGTATTAGTAGGAGTTGCGACGCTAAATTTAAACGTTCTCCTAGCAATCCAAAATATCATGATGAGAACAACACAAATACACACTCACCACGATTTCCGGGCGCGCCCCGACGGATGATGAGGCAACCGATAAATTAAAAAAATGTCTGTGTGTGTGTGTGTATGTGTTGTGTGTGTGTGTATGTGTGTGTGTGTGTGTGTGTGTGTGTGTGTGTAGTGTGTGTTGTGTGTGTGTGTAATGTGTGTATGTGTGTATGTGTGGTATGTGGTGTGTGTGTGTGAGCACACCACCACCACCAGCACAGCATTGACAGCAAATGTACAGCAGCAGCAGCCCACCACCACCACCACCAGCAGCAACACACAGCCAGCAGACAGCAGCAGCGCGCACAGCCAGCACAGCACACACTCGCTAGCTGAGCACACAGAACACAGGCACCACCACCACCACCACCAGGCAGCAGCTCGAATGGCTAGCATGCCTGAGCTGGTGGCTCGCTCGCAGTTATATGTCCGCACTGAACTCAGCTCGACCTGCTAATGCTGATGCTCATAGCTCCGCTGTTTGTTAGTCGACACCATAGTCGACCCCCTGGCTGGTGTTGCTGTGTTTATGTGTGTATTGTGGTGTTATTTGTGTATGTGTGTATGTGTGGTGTGGAGGGGGGTGTTATCGTATGTTATGTATGTATGTATGTATGTATTGTATGTATGTATGTAATGTATGTATGTATGCATGTATATATATCAGGAGTGTATAATAGGGACCCTATTTATACACTCCTGATATATATATATAACTATATAGAGATAGAGAGCGCAGAGAGATGAGAGAGCAGAGACAGCGAGAGATTTGAGTTGAGGGATATGATGATATGAGATGAGAGAGAGAGGAGAGAGAGAGAGACCTGTACATATAATACATGATAGTCTACTACAATCCACTCCTGTACAGATAATACATGTTAGTCCACTACAATCCACTCTCCTGTACAGATAATACATGTTAGTCCACTACAATCCACTCTCCTGTACAGATAATACATTTGGTCCTCTAAGATTTATTCTCCCGCTCAGATATTACATGTTATTTCCCTACAATCCGTTTTCTTCCATAGATAATACCAGCGGTGATAATGACAGATTCACAGATCTGTCATTATTTACCCTCTTATAATACATGTAAATCCACTACAATCCATTCCCTTGCACAGGTATATGTTAATCCACTGCAACCCGACCCATTTTTTTTGCGCAGATAATCCTGAACAAGCAATACAACAAGGCCGTTGATTGGTGGTCGTTCGGAGTGCTTCTCTACGAGATGCTGATTGGTCAGTCGCCGTACAGTGGCACGGACGAGGACGAGCTGTTCTACGCTATCTGCCACGAGATGCCATACTTCCCACGATTCCTGCCCAAGGAAGCCGCCAGCTGTCTAGCCCTGGTACGTACCTGTGTGGCTACCTACACACACACACACACACACACACACACACACACACACACACACACACACACACACACACACACACATACACACACACACACAATTTTTTTAATTTATCGGGTTGCCTCATCATCCGTCGGGCGCGCCCGAAATCGTGGTGAGTGTGTATTTGTGTTGTTCTCATCATGATATTTTGGATTGCTAGGAGAACGTTTAATTTAGCGGTCGCAACTCCTACTAATACATACATACCAGGGATTAATAATGACAAATTTGTCATTATTAACCCCTGATACATACGTATATATTATATATATATATATTTATTTATTTATGTATAATAGGCTAGCATTTCATTCTCAATCCTCTAGATACCCGAACTTTACAAAGCGTGTTTTTTGAGGCATCATAGGTGATGAGAGTCTTTGAACTAAGCTGACTGTATACGCGACCTCAGTAAACATATGACACTCCCTCCATGTAAGCTAACAGAATTACTAATTTTTCTCGGATTTTTTAGAGTGAAGTTTGTTTAACATTCTGAAAGTCCTACAGAAATAACCGAAGCGTGGTGAAAAGAACTGCGCTCGTTTTTCGGCGTCATCGCTCGCAGTGCTTCATATACCAAGACTATTTTACTAGCTACCTGCCTGCTTGCCTGCCTGCCTGCCTGCCTTCCTGCCTTCCTCCCTGCCTGCCTGCCTGCTTGTTTGCTTGCTTGTCTGCCAACCTACCTGCCTGACTGTCTGCCTGTCTGCCTGCCTGTCTGCCTGTCTGCCTGCCTGTCTGCCTGCCTACCTGCCTGCCTGCCTGCTTGCCTGCCTGCTTGTCTGCCTGCTTGTCTGCCAACCTACCTGGCTGCCTGCCTGTCTGCCTGCTTGCCTGTCTGCCTGCTTTTCTCCCTGTCTGCTTGTCTGCCTGCTTGTCTGCCAACCTACCTGTCTGCCTGCCTGCCTGACTGTCTGCCTGCCTGCCTGCCTGCTTGCCTGCCTTCCTGCCTGCCTGCCTGCCTGCCTGCGTTCCTCCCTGCCTGCTTGTCTGCCTGCTTGTCTGCCTGCCTACCTATACCTGCCTGTCTGCCTGCCTGTCTGCTTTCCTTCCTACCTGCCTGCCTGCTTTTCGTCTGCCTGCTTGTCTGCCTGCCTACCTACCTGCCTGCCTGCCTGCCTGCCTGACTCTCTGCCTGCTTGTCTGCCTACCTACCTGCCTGCCTGCTTGTCTGCCTGCCTACCTACCTGCCTGTCTGCCTGCCTGTCTGCCTATATGCCTGCCTGCTTGTCTGCCTGTCCGTCTGCCTGCCTGCTTGTCTGTCTGCCTGCCTGCCTGCCTCCCATGATGATCTGCTTCTCGCTTCTGTACACGTGCGGGTGAAATATCTCCAGCATTCCTGCCGGTTTCAGCGCTGCACTATAATGATACATGTCGGTAACTCGTGATGATCACGCGGCGCTGGCCTCAACATATACCGACCCTGGACTTCATCCAGGGTTTACCCAAGGTCACCCAGCGCCATGCGATCCCTTTCACAAGTTTTATCCAGGGTCATCTGGGGTCCTTCATGGTCATCCGGGGTCCTTCATGGTCATCCGGGATCCTACATGGTCACCCGGGGTCCTATATGGTCAGTCAGGGGCATCGAGGGTTATTCGAGGTCATATCGGGTCGTCACCCGAGGCTATCCAATAGCACCCGGGGTCATAATGGGGCATCCGAGTTCACAATGGGGCATCCGAGGTCACAATGGGGCATCCGAGGTCACAATGAGGCATTCGAGGCCGTCCATGGTCACCCGGGGTCATTGAAGGTTATTCGACCCCTTCCATGGTCGTCCTGGGTCACCTATGGTCAGCTATCATGGTGTGTATACAACATTCCCGCTGTGCGCCAGCAGGGGATTTAGTAGAGGAGGAAAATGGGGTCCCCGTGCACCCGATTGATATATTTTTCTAATGTACTTTTTTGCGCGTGCACACGCATATGACATCGTTTATGATCCATGAGTGACGTCACGGCTTGCCATTTACATGCAATCGTCTGTCACACATATAATCAGGAACGCATTGACCTTTTTTCATTACATAACTACAGTTTGCGTGCTCTCGATATATTTATACGATCTGATGGGATGCGTATATATATGTGTTGTTTGTTACAGGTTCTATGGAGCTGAGGTTATCTGTGCCCTGCAATTCTTACACACCCAAGGAATCCTTTACAGGTTCGTGTATGTAGCGAGCTATGGTGCTGTAAGCTGCAGCTATTTATTTCTGTACTGGGGTAGGTTAAACGCTTTTGCGTGCATGTCATGGAAATTTAGGAGAGGTTATACTCCTAGCTGGACTACACTCTCGCTCTTCTAGTGACAGCTGGGGGTTGTTACTCGTTTGTCTAACGTTCCACAGTAATGAGTGCTTGATGAAGAAGAGCTTCTTTCTCTCTCTCTCTTTCTTTCTCTCTCTCTCTTACTCTTCTCCTCTCTCTCTTTCTCTCTCTCTTTCTCTTTCTTTCTCTCTCTCTCATTGGTTTTTGAGCTCGCTGAACTGGCGCGTGATATGTTGAAGAGGAAGGGCGTACGTGCGCCGTCTCCAGACCTCGTGCCGCGTTAGCATCTCCGCCGATGCCTCCCACTCTGTGGAGCCGTTCACCGCCGTAAGCTGCCGATGATGGGAGAATGGCTAGAGTCGACATTGTGTCTAGGCGCTGCGGTCGGCCATGCTGCATTTTTTTGCCGCTGTGTTACTGCCGAAAGCACGCTTCACTTCGGCAGGTCGGGTCGCGCAGACCCCTCACCGCGGTCATGTTTTTTCGATACCTCTTCTTCGTCGTCTCCGGCAGCACTATCCATTATATCTCGGTTTTTTCTCTGTTTTCCGCCTTTCCGCAGATTTTCAGCCTTCACGCTCCTCCTGCTGGGCTGGCGCACTATCTGCATCGAATGTCGTGGGCGCTGCTGGGAGTTGCATGCGGGCGAAGGATGCTTTGGAGGGACATGCGGGGAGGATGTCGTAAGGTGCGCGGGCAGGAATAATAGAGGGAATGCTGTGTAGTGAGGGATGCCTGTAAAGGATTGCTGTGCAGGGATGCGGGGAGGGATGCCGTGAGGGATGCTGTGAGGGATGCGGTGAGGTAATGCTGGGAGGGCGGATGCGGTGTAGGGATGCTGGATGGGATGCGGTGAGGGATGATGGGAGGATGGGGGAGGGATGCGTTTGAGGGATTTCTGTGATGGATGCTTTAGGTGCCTGTGAGGGTGCTGTGGGCTTCTGTTAAGTGATTCTGTGGAGGATGCCGGCTGAGGGATGCTGTGCGCACGATGCTGTGATGGATTCTTAAGGGATTGCTGCTGGAGATGCTGTGGGGATGGCTGTGTGCGGGATGCTGCTTGAGGGATGCTGTGAGGGATGCGGGGAGAGATGCTGTGAGGGATGCGGTAATGTATGCTGCAAGGGATGCTGTAAGAGATGCGACGAAGGATGCGATAAGTGATGTTATGGGGGATCGGATGTTACTGCAGGCATTTCATCCTCAGCATCCTCATCCATGGAGATCACCAGCATCACATCGTATCGTGTAAATAAATACGGCTGACGACTGATGTGCGTAATGGCTTCGTGAAATGGATCACTGCGGGAACGTGCGTCAGCTCTCTGCCGCTTCCTTTCACATTCTCCCTCCCCTATCCATCCCTATCTCCCCACTCTCGCTTGTCGTCTTACCTTACAATCGCGCCATATCTGAGTCCCCTACAAGCGATATACAGATGAATAGATGGATGGATGGATGGTTGGATGGATGGATGGATGGATGGATGGATGGTTGGATGGATGGATGGATGGATGGATGGACGGACGGACGGACGGACGGACGGTTGGATGGATGGATGGATGGATGGATGGATTGGTTGGACGTAGGATTTGGACGGAATTTACATGAAACTGTCGGCAATAATAGGTGAAAGAGCGTATGGAAACATTAAGAATTTGGTAGTAAATTGATTTCGTATTTAGTTAGCATTATATTTTATTGAAACGCTTCAAGTGCCTGTGCCTAGCATTAGCTTAACGCTGCAGGTTTCGTGTAAACACCTGCCAGCCTTCTCTGCTTACGTAAGCACGCAGGGCTGGGGCGACGTGTAGCACCCACTAGCCGCGCCACCACTCCGTAAAAAGTTGCCAATTAGCAACGACGTAACGGCAATCCTGCGAAACCTAAATTCTTTTTTGCTTCGCCTGTTTCCGTGAACTTTTGTTGGGCTCCGGTTTAGGTGTGGCCCGAAAACTCGAAATAAACAGAAAACGCATGAAAAAGAACGACCGGTAAAAAACGATAGCGATGATAAACGCAGATATAGCTCTGCGTTGATTTGTGTGTTTGCTGAGTTTGCTGAAAACACGTGATATATGCATGATCCAGCGTTGCCATGGCGACGGCCGATCATAACGTGCTTATAATGAAACTCGAAGTAAAGTGGAAAGCGAGCCCAAATTCTTCGAGGACCCAAATCAAAACATCACTAAATCACGCGTGCAAAATTAGGTTACTGCTACTACTGCTGCTGCTGCTGCTGCCGCTGCTACTGCTACTGCTGGTGCTGCTGCTACTACTGCTGCTGCTGCTACTGCTGCTACTGCTACTGCTGCTACTGCTGCTGTTGCTACTGCTGTTGCTGCTACTGCTACTGCTGTTACTGCTGCTGCTGCTACTGCTGTTGCTGCTACTGCTACTGCTGCTGCTGCTGCTGCTGCTGCTGCTGCTGCGGGTGTTAAAATACATCTGTTACCATGACGATTGGAGTCTTCATACCTCATACAATGCTGTGTCGCATCATTTAAAGGTGCAAAACCACTGCGGCCTAGAGTCTAGAATCTGGTTGGGGTAGTCTCACCTTCCGACTATCCACTATAGCAGTGGTTCTTGACCTTTTTTGAGTCATGGACTCCTTTGAGAATATGGAGAAAGCTACGGACCCCTCCCCAGAAAATGCACATAAACACATAAACACAGAGATTCACATACACTTGGGTACATGGACCCCCTGAAGCCCATCCATTGACCCCAAAGGGGACCATGGACCACAGGTTAAGAACCCCTGCACTATAGAGAAGTTGTAACACGGACGCGTGCTCTCTGCAGCTGCTGGATAGGACACCTAACGTCCGGCTGGGGATGCCCGACTGTCCGGCTGGTGACATACGACAGCACCCCATGTTCAAGGTCATACCGTGGGACAAGCTAGAGAAGAAGGAGATGCCGCCCCCATACGTGCCGAAAGTGGTGAGTGCGCGCGTGCGCCGTATGTGCACACTGTCTAGCTACTGCTGCTGTTACCAGCCAACGCTATGACTGTCTAGCTACTGCTGCTAGTACCAGCCAACGCTATGACTGCCTAGCTACTGCTGCTGGCACTCGCATAATAATATTAATATTAAATTAGCAAAATAATACCTCCTAATCACTAGCAAAAATGCTGCGATACATGTCGCGTTATGCATAATATGTATATATATACATGTGGCGATTGAATAGGTTGTTGCAGCTTACCATAGGTGGCGACACTTGTCAACTATAGCGCAGACGCCCAGTAAATCATGGAGTACAATTTCTGCAGTTTCACTCCCATTCTAAGCAGCTACTACACACATGTACGTGCGTGCGTGCGTGCGTGCGTGCGTGCGTGCGTGCGTACGTGTGTGCGTGCATGTACATTCATAGCCACTGTAATATTATGATAGTCTATAATTTAGTGTGGAAATGGTTTTGTTTGAAAAATACATTTCATGTTTATATTAACTTGACTAATAACTTGCATGTCTTCCGTTTTGCTACACCACAAGCGCCAGCCCACCACAGACCTCTGCACCAACTTCTACCGCAGCGCTATTATTGTAAGGCAGTGGCTTCCTTCCCAAATGGCTTGTGCGTCTCCTTTCTCCGCCCCTCTCTCTTACGCGCAGTCTCTTTTGTCTTCACTCCCTCTTCTCACTTCTGTGTGGTCTCGGTCTTTTCTTGCTCTTTCGCTTCCTCATCTCTCCTCTCTCTCTCTCTCTCTCTCTCTCTCTCTCTCTCTCTCTCTCTCTCTCTCTCTCTCTCTCTCTCTCTCTCTCGCTCTCTCACTCTCTCTCTCTCTCTCTCTCTCTCTCTCTGTCTCTTTCTCTCTCTCTCTCTCTCTCTCTCTCTCTCTCTCTCTCTCTCTCTCTCTCTCTCTCTCTCTCTCTCGCTCTCTGTCTCTCTCTCTCTCTCTCTATCTCTCTCTCGCTCTCTCTCTCTCTGTCTCTCTCTGTCTCTCTCTCGCGCTCTCTATGTCTCTCTCTCTCTATCTCTATCTCTCTCTATGTCTCATGTCTTCGTCTCTCTCTCTCTCTCTCTCTCTCTCTCTCTCTCTTTCTCTCTCTCTCTCGCTTTCTTTATCTCTCTCTGTGTCTCATGTCTTCGTCTCTCTCTCTCTCTCTGTCCTGCAGAAGTCAGCAACGGACGTATCATTCTTTGATAAGGACTTCACGCAGGAGAAGGTACATCTTACCCCGACGGACAAGCAGCTACGCGACACCATGAACCAGGAGGCCTTCCAAGACTTCAGCTATACGCAGCCAGCCATCACCAGCACACCCTGCTAGCTGTCACAATCTGCTAGCTGTCACAGTCTGCTAGCTGTCACACACTGCTAGCTGTCACACAGAGATAGGATTGTATGCTATCAATGATACCACGCGAACTGTAACGTTATTTTGGCTGTGACACCACACTAGTAGATACCGTTTTGGCGGTGACACGTTGGCTGTGACATCACACTAGTAGAGACATTATTGGCGGTGACATGTTGGCGGTGACACCACACTAGTCGGTACCGTTTTGGCGGTGACACCACACTAGTTGTGACATTATTGGCGGTGACATGTTGGCTGTGTAACAATTTCGGCAGTGACACCATGCTAGCTAGCTGTGACGTCACTTTAGCTGTGACATCTACTGTGGTGACACTGACTCTTGTATTTATAACGATATATATATAGACCTGCACGCGCACATTAATTCATGTACTATGTGTGTTGATGTGCGCGTGTGTGAGCATATGTGTGTTCGCGTGCATGCGTGTTTTCATATGTGCGTGCGTGTGTGTGTGTGCGCGCGTGTGTGTGTGCGTGTGTGTGTGTGTGCGCGCGCGTGTGTGTGTGTGAGTGATTGTGCGTGAGTGTGCGCGTGTGTGCATGTGTGTATGAATGCGTATGTTCGCGTGTGTATGTGTGTGCGTGTGTGTGCATGCTTATGTCTGTGTTCTGTGTGTAGTATTTAGTATCTGAAAGACGGTGTGCCGGGGACGTTAGAAGGCAGAACGGCAAAGGGCGCGAGAGCAGCAAAACGCAAGCATGACGTCACATGTGGCGGTGCAACCTGGAGTGTCGTGGCGGTATCGCCTGTCTGCCTGTCTGCCTGTCTGCCTGGCGTTCCCACGCCCCTGTCACCACTAGTAACACTGTATACTATTAACGGGGATCCACATATACAGCGGCGCTTGCTCACGCGCTGACACTGCTGCCACCTAGGGAGCGCCTCTCGAACGAACATCATTCCTAGGAGTGTCTGTAGAGGTGAGAGGTGCATCCAAAGATGCGCAGCATTAGTTATAGTCTGACGTCACAACGAATGACGTCATAGTTAGACGACTTGCGGTAGTAGGAAGTAGATGTTGATTTTATCCATATATATATATATATATATATATCGCGAACGTGTATACTGCATTGTTGTGCAGTGTATTGCTGCCACGCAGCTGTGCATTTATAATTTGCAGCGTCATTTGCATGCGATGCTGTGATCATTATTTGATTGCTTACCCCCCCCCATGTAGAATCCACGGTGCTTGTATTAACGCCCGACTATTGGAACCCGAGGGAAGGGGAGGGTCGATTTCTGTAATTGAGTGCATTCCAAAGCCTCATCAGTCTGATAAATTCAATCGAGGTAATGGAATGACTCTCAGTGAACAGTACAGCCCACATCGATGCGTGCAATTGCCCACGTTCAGACAGGTGAGAGGGGAGAAAGCAGCCACACACGCAGGCAGATAGAAAGGGAGAAAGCAGCAACACACACATGTAGGCAGATAGAAAGAGAGAAGGCAGCCACATACGCAGGCAGGTAGAATGGGAGAAAGCACCCACATACGCAGGCAGATGGAAGGAGAGAAAGCAGCGACATACACATGTAGGCAGATAGAAAGAGAAAGGGCAGCCACATACGCAGGCAGATAGAAAGGGAGAAAGCAGCAACACACACATTCAGGTAGTAAGCGAAAGGGCAGCCACACACGCAGGCAGAAGGAAAGGGAGAAAGCAGCCACATACGCAGGCAGGTAGAAGAGAAACCAGCCCCACACGCAGGTATAGAAAGAGAAGGCAGCACGCTATACAAATGAAGCTGCGTCTATATACAGGCTATGGGCACCCTCCTATGCTAATTAGTACTGTATTTATACTACTAATAGTATCAGTATGGAGCGATTGTTTGTTCAGTAACCACGATGCTAGTGCGGGAGTGAAGCTGTAGGTGGTATAGGATGGGACCATAATTGCAGAGTTCCCGCTCTCTCTCTCTCTCTCTCTCTCTCTCTCTCTTGTCCTTGTGACACGTCCTTGGCCGCTCGTGTGTGTGTCCTCTGGCGGGGCGTGGCAGCATCCCCAGCTAGCATCCAGCTGGGATGCTGGCTGGTACACGTCGCATCCCGGCGTTGACGTGCGTGTGTCAGCATTGCGGCTCACGTGCTCCTCCCTGCGATAAATGCACGCACGCGCCTCGCTCGAAGCTTGATTAATTATTAAAGCAGCAGGTTTTTTTTGCGGCTGTCCTCGCGCGTCGTCGGCGGTTTGTAAAACTTGCGTTGTTGATTGCCGTGGTCTGCGGAGAAAAACCGGAATTGTCATTCCGCTATTGTCACCATTAGCTGCATGATGTCAATCAGAGGTGAAGCATGCGGTGCTATTTATGTTTGTGCCATTTATTCTGCGCATTTCCATTTCTTTCGCTTTCTCTTTCTTTTTCCCTCTCTCCCTCTCCCTCTTCCTCCCTCGCTCTCTCTCTCTCTCTCTCTCTCTCTTTCTCTCTCTTTCTCTCTCTCTCCCTCTCCCGCTTTCTCTCTTTCTCTGTTTCTCTCTCTGTGTCCCTCTCTCTCCCTGTCTCGCGCTCTATCTCTCTCTTTCTACCCCCTATCATTCTTGTTTATCGTTCTCCCCCTCTCTCTTTCTCTCGAACTATATCTGCCCCGTCCTACCTCCCTTTTTTTCTCCCTCCCTGCCTCCCCGTTCCTCGCTCCCTCCTTCACCGTCTTGCCCTGCCACTCTCTTTTCTTTCATCCCTCCCTTTTCCGTCCCTCCCTCCTTCCAACATGTCCCCCGTTCGTACGCCGCCTTGAGTAAGTGCCTGCCTTATATAATAAGTATATAATATAAATTATATACTTTAATTAATTATTCAGAGATCTCAAGTTAGACAACGTGTTACTGGACAAGGATGGGCACGCAAAGCTAGGCGACTTCGGCATGTGTAAGACGGACATGATAGGCGACAGCAAGGCATCGACCTTCTGCGGAACGCCCGACTACATCGCGCCCGAGGTAAGAACAGAGACCCTAGAACAGATGTAGTGTGTATCTGAACAGAGTCCATTGTGTATTAGAACAGAGTAGATGTACTCGAACAGAGTATTAGTGTTCTATTGTCTCTGCTAAGAACCCGCCGCTGCATGGCACCACCTGGCAATGTGTCGAGCGTCATCAAAGAGCATGTAGATTTCGTTAAGGTGTTTGATGTCATGTTGATGTCAGCTCCTAGTGGATGCTGCCAATGATATCGATCGTTGTCAGTGTGGTCGAGCGTCTTTGTAGGTTCTTTGGCAGACACATCCGTGTTTTTCCCACTACAGTTCCTTATCTTCGACCAATAATACATGTTAGTGCAATACAATCCACTCTCCTGTACAGATAATACATGTTAGTCCACTACAATCCACTCTCCTGTACAGATAATACATGTTAGTCCACTACAATCCACTCTTTCTCTCTCTCTCATTTTTTGAGCTCCGCTGAACTGGCGACGTGTATGTCTGAAGAGGAAGGGCGTACGTGCGGTCTCCCAGCATCCCTCTCCCGTTAGCATCTCCGCCGATGCTCCCACTCTGTGGCGTTCCACACGGGAAGCTGCGATGATTAGATGGCTAGAGTCGACATCGTGTCAGGACCGGCTGCGTCAGAGCCATGTGCATTTTTTGCCGCTGTTTACTGCGAAAGCCACGTTCACTCGGCAGGTCGGGTCGCGCAGACCCCCTCACCCGCGGTCATGTTTTTCTCGTAACCTCTTCTCGTCGTCTCCGGCGTCACTATCATTATATCTCGGTTTTTTCTCTGTTTTTCTCGCCTTCCCGCAGGATTTTCAGCTTCACGCCTCTCATCCCTGCTGGGCTGGCGACAACATCTGCATCGGAATGTCGTGGGGATGCTGGGAGGGATGCGGGGAAGGATGCTGTGAGGGATGCGGGGAAGGATGCTGTGNAATATATATATATATATATATATATTATATATATATATATATATATATATTAACGTAAACAAGTCATATCTGCCTCATCCTGTTGCTGGATGAAAACAGCTTTATATATAGATATCTAGAATGTGACTCGTATAGCGAATGATGTTGTTGTTAATTACGGTAAATGTATTTATTCATTAGTCGAGCGACGGCCAGGTATATATTGCGGTGACAGAAGACGTGCTGTCGGTCCGTGTAACATGTTGACGTGTTAATCGTCATTAGCTCGGTCACACACCGCACCTCTCCATCGCTGGCGTGTAATCAAGCGCGTAGCTAGCTAGCGATAGCTAACGAAGCAGTTAACCCTGTGTTAGACAGTGCATGCCGCGTGTATACAGCGCCCCCTGGCGCCTATGTAATGCTGTGGCTGCTATGCTCGCATTTCTTCGTCGTGGCAGCTGCTGTACAGTGAATGGCGGAATAAAGGTTTTAGTTGAACATTACATGATATGTATTACAACAAATTGTCGTGTTATGTTGATTTTCACTCGATCTCTCTCTCTTCTCTCTCGTTCTCTGTATATATGTGGCCCTATTGTGCGTGCGCGCGCGTGCGTGCGTGTGTATGATTGTGTTCCTGACAGTGTGTGTGTGTGTGTGTGTGTGTGTGTGTGTGTGTGTGTGTGTGTGTGTGTGTGTGTGTGTGTGTGTGTGTGTGTGTGTGTGTGTGTGTGTGTGTGTGTGTG